TTGGCACCCCAATGCCCATTTGGCACCTTTGATAGTCACTTGCATAGGTTGTCAAATGGGTTAGGTGACTTCCCATTTTGTGTAGAAATAAGTAAGCAATTGTATAATTTTAAAACATTATATATATATATATATATATATATTCTAAAATTACTAAATTTTTAATGGAAAAGACTAAAATTGCACAATTATAATAGTTAAGCGACTAAAATTGTTCAATTAAAAATTAAGAGACTAAAATCACACAATTACAATCTTTTAAGGACTAAAATTACTTAATTAAAATCTTGATGATCAAAATTACACAATTGCAATACTTGAGGGATTAAAAGCACAATTAAGCCAAAATTATAATATGCGTTAACTTGAATAGACAAATATTGTATAAATTTAAAATATTGTATATATATATATATTAAAATTATTAAACTTTTAATGGAAGAGACTAAAATCGTACAATTATGATATTTGAAGGACTAAAATTGTTCAATTAAAAAGTGAAAGACTAAAATCGCACAATTACAATCTTTTAGGGACTAAAATTATTCAATTAAAACTTTGGAAATCAAAATTGCCCAATTGCAATACTTGAGGGATCAAAAATGCAATTAAGCCAATAAAATTTTAGAACATGAGAAGAATTAATAAATTTAATATCATATTAATATTGATTTAAGTAAAATCAATTTTAATTATTCATATACTGGAGAAAAAGAAGTATTGTGTGCCTTTGTGTTTAAAAAATAAAATAAGAGTAAAAAAAAAACAGGGAAGAAAAATCAAGCAGTTATTTATTTTTAAAAAATCTCAGTTATTTTATTTTCAAATTTTACTCTTTAATAACTAGCATATTATTGTTTAGAATAAAAACGTCAAAATAAATGTGTATATAAAAATAAGATATTGTCTTTATAATAGTCAAGTTATGATTGCTTTTATAATAGTTGTGGATAAATAAACCGCTAAATTACATTGATAAAATTTGGTATCCTACTAGGATTGACTTGACATAATTAATAATACGATATATAAAGAGTTACATTAAATTAATCCATGAAATTATAAACATTGATGAATTTAATCCTTAGCATTATAAAAAATAAAATCTTTTACAATTCTCACATTGGAAATGATACCATCAATGAATATAGTCCTTAACATACAAATTCAATATAGATAAAAATTTTGACAATCATAAGCCAATTTATTCTATGATGTTAAGACGGGGAGTCATGTTGAACAAAATTAAGAACTAAATTAATATTCATTAAAGCTGAGTTTAATAAAACTAGCTGATAAATATAAAATAATATACTTATTTATTTTTTGATAATCAGAATAAGAGAATGATGAGATAAATAACATAATTTCTAAATTAAAAAAATAAAAATCAAATAAATGAATAAATAAAAAATAAAAGAAATTAACAACTTATAAACTATAAACTACAATAAACCTATGAAAATAAATTATAATTTTTTTAAATAAGTTCCAGTACCAAATAAATTTATTTTGTTCAAACAAATTTATAAATCATTCTAAAAACACTTACAAGTTCCTCAAATATTTTGTCAAACAATAAATGACTAATTATTATCAAAATTAACACATTGGTAAATTTTCAATATTGAAACTAATATGATTAATATTGACTTATTGAGTACATATTTGATTCCTCCTACAAAATTATTTCGAATTTTTCACGTCAAGTCCACCTAAAAGATCCAAAAGTTAGTTATTTTAGGTTGAGTAATGATATATCCTTCGAAACACAGTTCGAATCATCTTCCGAAATATTAAAATATTATTATATTTTTTATAAATTTATTATAAAATAATTATTTAATTTAATATTTTAATCACTTCGAATGATTTTCGAATCATCCTTTCGGACATTCTATCATTTTTCTTTTAGGTTTAGTGTGACAAACGTTAATCTTTGGCTGACACTTTTAATGATTTTGAGGACAATTTTTATTTTTCCTTCATAATTTAAACGACTAAAATGACTAATAATTACATTTTCAATAACTAATTTAATGAATTACTCAGATATATAAAGCTAGACAGAAGTGCAGATAAAAGTAGTAAAAAAGATGTGTAATGTCACTTTATTTGATTCCCAGAGCCAGAGAGGTGCATAAATTAATTCAAATTTTATTCTGGGCTACAGTCTGCTTATCATGTCACGAGTTCATACAGATGGCATAGTGTTTTCTGATTAAAACTAATAAAAAGGAAGGGACTATAACTTGTAGTTAATCATTACAAAAGAATTCAGAGTAAATACCTACATCCTATGAAAGCCCACGCTACATTATGTGTATGTGTGTAACCCCAAATAACCAATAGCTAAACTATGATGGACTTCTCTTTTACAAAATTAGTCTAACAATTTCCTTCTCCCTAAACTCTTCCCATTTTCCTACTCTAAGAAAGAAAAAGAAAATTACAAAAGAAAATATTCTGTGTTCCTTCTACTTATGTATATATATCCTTTGCACATATTTGCCAAGACCAAGACAGACAAGAATGGATCAATTTTCATCCTCTGTTAAGGAGGCGAAGGAAAAAGGTCTGAACTTGTATCCATCACCATGGTAGAATTTATTTTGGAATTCTACCCAGTGAAGACGCAAGGCGTGAAGAAAAGCACTGAGAGTCTCCATCATTAATAGTATAAAGGCAGTTGCAAAGGCAAAAACAGTTAGCCCCACTAATCGAATGACAAGATTGTCATACCTGTTATAATGGTAATCAGCGATGACATCGACAATTAAATAAAAAAAATGATATTAAAAAAGATAAATGCCAAAAAGGAATGCAAGCATGATACATGGATAATTCTTGAGCCTAAAATATCCAACAAAAGAATGCAGACACGACGGAGGGTTTTTTCATACGGCTCTGAATTAACTTCAACTAAAATTTCTTCAACTCAAACTCAAAAAACATACAAAATATTTATGTTTACAATATGTGGAGACTAGTTAGATAATTGTACTGGTATCGCCACAACTTCTAATCAGGAACTCATCAGAAGATTCAGAACTCACACTATTCTAAACTAGCAATTGGATCGTGCACAATAAATTAATGGATGCACTGTCATTAATTAAGATAATTTTATCAGCCATGATCTTAATGAAAATAGCACCTGTAGAATAAGGTATAAACACATTATCTGTTCAAAAACTACTCTGAAGCATAAAAATATCTTACTGACTTTTCCCTATTAAAAAAAGTTCCTAACTGTCAGTAACAATGATGCCCATTCCATACCATGATCTCAAACTAGGAATAATAATATTAATAAAGGTTACTTTCATGATAAATAAAGAAATTACGTAGAACTTAACGTATGCTATTGCCACCCAAGACCAAACATAAAGCAGTACTTTAACATCACAAAGTTAAGCAATTTGATAAATATCAATGATGGAATTTATTCCAGCACCCTTCCTCTTTATGCTCACACAATAAAAATATCACACATTTTTGTGGACTATGAAAACCTTCCTTTAATTGCTATTTCGTAATAACCATTCAGACAACTTTGATTATAAATTATAGTTTTATTGTCTATTACAGGATGCATCTTTTTGGGGGGGGGGGGGGGGGGATCAGCTCAAAAAATTAAAGGAAACATCTCAATGAAAAGCTCAAAAAATAGTATGTCATATTAATGAAAGGTTATGAATCAAACTCACCCCCAAGCAAGAAGCAGGACTTTCTCATAAAAAACGGTAGAAAGTTCAGAGTGCGCCAAGCTGCAAAGTGGTAAAAAATATCAACCAAGGTTTAAAAAATGATAAAATACGGACCCAAGGCAATGAGAGAAAATCATAGCTGACCAAACCTTAATGCCCAAAGTCGTAGATATGAGGCTGTATTTGAAACTGAACCTAGAACAAACTCAATGGAGTGAATCATTTGGTGGACAAAGACCTCACTGAAATTGAATTCCTCACGGTGTTGCCTGGCAGAATCTGGTTCCAACTCAAGATCAACCTCAGAG